TACAGCACTTCCGAATAAGTCGCCCTGCACAAAATAATTGAATCATCTGCAAAAAACAAATATGAGATCGGCAGGGCACCTCTGCAAATACGAACTCCTGTCAAGAGTTTTGCTTGAGCTGCTCTTTAAATAGCCTGAGATAAGCCCTCTGCACACAAGATAAATAAAAGATAAAATGTCACTTTGCCGCAACCCTCGGGTTGGTTTAAAGAGACCCCCAGGACGCCCATTTGAAACAAGAGAATAGGACACAGAGGAAATACAAGCTGAGATAAGTTAAATCCAGTGAGGATTTAGACCCAATCTACCAAGTATTTTTAGGAGGAATGGCCATTCAATGCGATCATACGCCTTACTCATATCTAATTTTAAAGCCAAAAAAGCATTATTCCCATTCTTTTTATTTTTCAAATAATGTATAATTTCATGTGTCACAAGAATATTCTCCATAATATGGCACCCATAAACAGAGGCGCTTTGCGAATCACTGATAATAGAGGCAAGCACCGATTTCAATCAGTTTACAAGCACCTTTACAATAATCCTGTAGGCAACATTACATAATGAGATAGGCTGATATTGTGAGGCCATAGTGGGTGATTCCACTTTCAAAATAAGGTATCAATGCTTGTCAGGGTTGGGCTCTATCTTGAATTGTAAAATCATTATTTTCCCAACTATGTAAGGAAAAGAAAAACATTTTCTACCATTGGCGGGTTGAAAAAATGTTTGAGTATTTTGTCAATAGTTTGAGTCCAAATTCATCTTCTCATAAGAACACGTGAGTTTGTGAATTTTCTATTAGGAAGTACAAAACATTATATCAAAATATAAACATTGTATTTTTTCCATCCCAAAATAGTTGTCCATCTTTTCGTTTTGGAATGTTCCAAAAAAAACATATCCCATTCCAAAATTGAATGTATTATTTTTTATAGAGGGATGCTAGCGTTAGTTGCCTTAGGCGATTGCCGCTATCAGTCGCGTCATATGGCAGTATTTTATTGGTGCCTGATTTATTTTTTTATTTTTTTTGTTTTTTATGCTTTTCTGTGTCGGCTTTTCCTCTCCCTCCCTCCCTACTTCCTAACCCAAAACCACTTATCTCTCTACTCCGATCTTCGTCCAAGCCACCACCATCTCACCTTTACCTCCTCCATCAACCCCTTTCATGCTCTCCGATGCCGGCAATTGAAGAGAGAAGGTGGAGAGCTGAGCCGGCAAGGAGAGGAGTCTGCGGCTGAACTAGGCGACACCGATGGGCTCGGCGAGGGCGGAGTGAGCGCAGCCGAAGATGAAGTTTCGGAGAACCAGCGCGCATCGAGCCATGGCATAGAGATTGGAGGAGGGAAGAGAAGAGTGGTCAGTAGCTTGGACGGCCGGTTCTTCACCCGCCAGTGTATAGAGAAAGAAAGAGGCTGAGAGTAGAAAGAGAAGAAGTGGTTTTGGGTAAGGAAGTAGGGGAAGAAGAAGAGGAATTTTGGGTCTGCAAAATATTGGGTTTTGGGTTTAGAGGCAGATTATGGTGAAGGTGAAGGTGAAGGTGAAGGTGAAGGTGAAGGAGAACAAGGTGAGAGACAGTGAAGGGGAAGAAGGGGAATTTTGGGTCTGCGACTTAGACGAAGTGAGAGAATGAGAACAGGGTGAGAGAGAGAAGAAAAGCCGACAAAGAAAAGCATAAACAATAAATAAATAATAAATAATAAATAATAAATAAAAAACACCGGCACAAAAAAAATAATAATAATAATGATAAAAAACAGGCGCTAATAAAATACTGCCATGTCACGCGACTGATAGCATCAATCGTCTAAGGCGGCTGTCCCATTCTAAAATTGAATGTACTATTTTTTACTCCCTCCGTCCCTAAATAGAAGTCCATATTTAAAAATTGGAGTTTTTAAGGGGACATGCAATTAATGCATTGTCCCCCTTTTAAAATTACCAAATTATCCTTTTTAATTTAAATATATATAGTTTCAAAGTTTGAAATTTTTAAAAAAGATAAAGGACAATGATGGAAATATAATGAAAAGATACTTTGAATTTTAAAAGAGAACAACTAATTTGGGACATATAAAAAAAAAAAAAATGGATTACTAATATGGGAGGAGGGAGTATAACATTCTTAAACTATCCTTTTAACTAAACAATTGCATTAATTATGGAGCACTATTTTGTCTTTTAATAAGAACATATTTGAAATTTCACTCTTATCAATACAATACAAAATTATTAAAGGCTCCACTACCATAAAAAGTTAAATTTTCCATGCAGAACGTGTATTTTGGGAATAGTTGATATCCATGACTTCCGAACTATAATGGTACTCTTTGAGGATTTGGGTTGGGTAATGCGTTCCAGTTAAAAGTTCACTTGGTTTTGTACCAAGCCTGTGGCCCCAAAGCCAGTGGACTCGCTACATCTCGAAAGCCCATCAATGCCATCAGCATAACACACACTCCATGCGCCCACTGATTAGGTTCGTCAGCTCCGGAGGAAGATCGAAAAGACTCTCTCTCTCTGGAATTCTCTCCCATTTATTTGGTATGTATGCACATATATGTATATAGCTCAATTTGTGTTTCCACATATTATTATTTTGGTATGTATGTTCATATATGTATATAGCTCAATTTGTGTTTCAACATATTATGATTTTGTTTTGCTATATCTTTTTGGTGAATATGTTTGGTTGAGAACTCAGAAGTTGTTCTTATTCATTCGTCAATTTGTTTATTTAATTTATATTGTTCAGTTCATAATGGGGCATTTGAAAATTGGGTACGAACCATCCTTTGCATTTTCCCATGATAATGCCGTCAAGCTGTAAAGATCTGTATTACGAAGTTGGTGCAGGAAGCAGGGTGTTTTGGGTTTAGGGTTTGTAAACGTGCAACAAACAGTTGGGGTTTGGGGGTTTATAATTGAATTTAGGGCTATTCTGATTGTGTGAAAAGTACACACTACTGTACACATTAATGGTACTTGGTTACTATTTGCCTAGTTGGAGCTATTCTGGCAGTGATAGAGGATTGGACTTTGGAGTTTCATTTCTTTCAATGTTTGGGATTTTGAAACTTAAAATAAAATATAAAAAATAAAAAATAAAAAGAAAAACAAAGGAGAAAGAAGAGAGATGAAATAGAATGGGAAAAGACGACTGAATTGCTTACTTCTCATATTTCTCTATTCTTATTCAATGAATTTCTTACTTAATCGAGTTCATTGTGTATGAGCAATGTTAAAGAAGAGGGTCATGTGCAATTCAGTAAGAGAATGAGAAACAACGAAGAAACGACATTGCTCGTGCTCATGAATCGGAGCTGTGAGATTATTGATTGCATTTTGTGAATGAATTCTATAAGAAGAAATAGGGGAAGGGGGTAGTATCTTAAAAGAATAGCACCTACTATCAAATAATCTCCTAGCAAAACTTATATAGCTTGTGTGCAATAAATTACGTAGATGGGTAACCAAGCCTTCATTCTAACTATCTCGATTAACAAGAATCGGTAACAGGACTAGCTTCTGCCCGACTCGTAGAAAATTCCAGAATAAGACATACTTTCTGCTTGGATATGATGAGACCACAAATAAATATCTATCTTTCTATTTGGATCTGAACTTGGTCATTGTGATGATGATGGAGGAAATGCTTGCTCTTATCTCTCTACTAGCACTGGACGACTTGGTTCACCCGCCACCCTCTCTCTGCTCTGCTCGCCATACTTGTTGAATTCAAATGAAATAAGAAGTGGCAACAAGAAAACAGCTTTCAATCATAGCTGCAAGGGTTCCAAACCTTAACTCAAAGTTCTTTTCCTCCTTAAAGGGAACATAAGGGTTCCAAACTCATTAGAGGTCAGGGGCAGGGTGGCGTAGTCGACTAGATCCTCAACATTTTGACTGTGGGCCCCAGTTTGAGACCGAGAAAGCCTCTTGAGCACCTTTGCCTGTATTCTTTCTATTAATGAAATTCAACAAGGGATAATACTCGGACTACGTGGTATTGCAAGAAAACAAGCTCCTTAGATTGCTTATCCAATGCCTTTAGGATAACTTCCATTCCAATTAGCCGAGCGTACACAGTTAGTTTAGTTTGGACATCGATACCTGCCCCTCCCCTCTTCACTCAATGTTCTTTTTTCTTGGGAACAGATGGGGCATCTCCTCCATATGAGAAGGAGCATTTGGAGTCTTATGATGGGGGGGAACCAAGTGAAGTTGACCGAAAGCCCGATATTCTCAAAGGGATTTGGGGTCCCGAATGTCTCAAGGGTCAGATGTTTACTTGTATGACTATCATTTGTTTAGTTTCAGTTTATTTTTTTTCTTATTAATTTTTGTTTATCTAATGAAAAAAATAATAATTTATTTGAAATTGTAGGTTGCTTTCCAGAAATGTTGCAAATGGAATGCAAGCTCTATATGCTTTTATTTATTTATTATTTTATTTGTATTTTTTGTGTTGGTGTACAATATATGTTCTCCCGATTCTTTTAGCATTTGTTGCTGCGTTGCATGCAGGGAAAATGGCTGACGTCGTCGAGGTGTCTGTATTGATGATGGGGGCTTGGTACTACCATCGCAAAACTCAAGAAGAACAAAAACAATTGGCTCTGCCTATAGCTTTACAAGTAATGTCTTGTTTCTGATGGCATTTCAGTTTTTAGATCCGTTACATTGTTCACAAGACCAGAGTCTTGATCAGGTTGTTTGATTTTAAGATTAGTCATGGTGTCTTAAGTATGGAAAGTTTTTTTTGCAGGAGCACAAAGCAGATGCTGAAGAGCGCATTGCAGATGCTTGGGAGCGCAGAGCAACTGCTGTGGAGCTCTGAAACCAAGTAATTGTTTCTAGTATATTGATGTTTTTGTAGATAATTATACCTGAGTATTCCTACTGATGTAAACCAATGGTTGGGATGGGATGTCTGCTATATTCTGTTTAGTAATATTCCATGGGGATGCAAAGTAATGAAGAGTCTACCATTTGCATTAGAAAGTCAAAATTTTCATCATTCTTAATCGTGTTACGATAACATAGGAACAACATGTTCTTCATCTGAAAGCAATGCAGAACTTTAAATCAAAACAACAATATAGTACTACATGGTTCCAATATGTTTTGCGGTCAGGTATGCTCTGTTTTCCTATTACATCAGAGAACTCCTAGAGCTACCTGCAAATTGATAATTGGATTGCTGTCATCCAAATATACGGTTAAGAGTGGCTGCCAAGCGAACTCCACCTTGAGCTAACCGGAGATTGACAATTGGTAAACGGGATAGGAAGTAGTCATCTGCAAAGCAGTTTTAGATCATTTATCCTGTTCTGAAGATCCTGCATATTTATCAACAGCAAAATCATGTATTACTTACCTTCTAGTACCGAATCTTCAGTCACACCTTTGTATGCCCAATCACATGCTGCTTTAATACCTTCAGTTGCATATCTGCAGGAATGAAGGACCCAAACTTCATTTTAAGTGTATGTCTCAATTTAGGTGTAGTTATTGAGTCAGTTTCAAAATCTTGAAATGGAGAACTAGGATGCAAGCATAGGAAGGAAAAGGATTGCATTTTATCTGAAGGTAGCATAAGTTTTAAATTTTGGGGATTAAGCTTACATGTCAGGGCATGCTGTGTTATTCCGGCTGCAGGTCTCCCATGTCTTAACTTGATCTGCCCAGTTTCCCTGTCAAGTATCAAGGAAAATGATGTCTGAGACTGATATCGAAAAGACTTGAATGGATTCAAGTTGGGAGTTATCTGCCAAATCATGTACCGTAATGTTGGTTTGAATTGCGTCGATGAGTCCATCTACATTTGATTGATAAAATCTTTCTTCAGCAGTCTCAATAATGCTGTCATCCCAGACCTGTATGTATGGTTTGAAATGAGAAACACAGTTCCAGTTCTTGTAAAAGCTTTCTGTTAAAGTCATTGAAGCTTGCAACTGGACTTACATGATGGAGAACTGTCTTCCTAGTGTACCAATGGACATCAATTGTGTTAGCTCCCCTGTCTGAGGTAAAGCCAACATGTAGAGGCTACAACCAAGAGTCTGTTCAGTAATATTTAAGTAAAATGCATACAAAATTCAACTTGTAATAGTCTGAAAATGCATACCTGATGAATGTCTCCAATGAAATGAGAAAGGAACATAAGTGCTTCTGTGAGATTATCTGATTATTGCACAGATGAATTCAATAGACTTGATGTAAGGGTAATTTTACTATAATAGACATAATAAATGAATTGTGCTTAAAGAGGGTCAAACATTGAGAAGCAGAATTGTCATAGCTGAGAAGCTGGGTGGTGTAATTGTTGATTGCCCCTGCAACACACCTGTCCTTCACTCCATTTTCATCCTTGCAGTCCCCTGTAAGTTCAAGTGGCAATGGTAAAGTTATTTCACTGGTTTGAAAGAGGAAATAGCCTCTCTGCATTCAGAGATAAGACTATGTGCATCTAAATCTCACAGTTGTCAGTGTCTCGTGCATTGACCTAGCACCATTATTTGTAAAAAAAGCTAGCAAGGGCTCTATGTAATTTTTATATAGTAGTCTCTGATCTATATATTTGGGCAGGAATAAAATCCCAAAAACCTCCAGATTGATAAATTAAGAAAGAAAAATAAATCCCAAAAAAACTCCACCTTTTAAACCAATATATACATACAAGCATATATATACTACGTATATGTATAGGACATGAGAGCTAGAGTGAAGGAACTAACTGTTGTACTGGTAGGTGCAGAGATTATCAGGTGTATCAATGTAATGGAGAGCTGATGACCAGTGATAACGGAACTTGACACGGTCTGCCCATGAACACACGCTCCCTAGATCATTCTCTGCCGACCCTGGTAGCAGATTCTTTACAGCATTTGCTGCAGCTTCGCTCAAGCGTGCCTGTAACAATCAATCAAAAACACATAATATATATGTGTGTGTGTGTGTGTGTGTGTGTGTGTAGAGAGAGAGAGTTGAGGTGTGAACCTGAGCAATCTTGCAAACTGTGAGATGCCCATCAATTCCCCAGCCATGAACAACTGGAGTGATAAACAAGAGTAGTGAAACTAGAGCTACTGCATGTACTCTACAAAACTCCATTTTGCTTCTTTCAGTGACAATTGATGGGCTACTTTTGCTGTGTGTCTATATATATATATATATATATATATATATATATATGATGCGTCTAAGTATAACATTGATGAATCAAAAGGGAAAGAACCAAAAATCTTTCTGTGATTGGTTAGTGTGAACTGAATGAAGAAACGGCTGTGTATTAATGTCAAGCAGTAGTATTTGGACGCGTGTCCATCTGGAGTCTGTTACAGACTGATTTTTAGGGAAAGGACAATTAAATTGAGTGCTCTACTGAATCATCGTTCACACTTGAATGATGCAATTGACTAAAACAACCTTGGATAAATTAAAGAGAGCTTGAGATGACTAGGTCGTTTTTGGTCATTTCAGAAACCAAACGCGATATTTTTGTTTTCTAGGTACGTGCTTGTAAAGGAAAGGAATTGAAAGTGGAGTGAATTTAGAGCTGATTGTTGTAACGATTGATTCTTTTTTAAAAGGTAGAATATTCCAAATATATAGAGTATTTAAACTGAAGTAACGGATAGTATAAATTATATGGTAAATTCTGTCATTATTATTATTTTTTTTTTTTGAAAAGCGATTCTGTCATTATTATTTACTAGCATTGTTAATTTTGACTGTTTTATTTTAACCTTTATGAATTCCATATGAAACTCGCATAGAGTGTCACATTTCGGGCCAACTCGAACCTTAGACGCCTAAGACTCCAGTCAATAGAAAGACTCCAAAATTTTAAAATTTTCTTATATTAAATTATATTATAATTATTTTGTAATATTGTTAAACTCTAATAAATATAAAAAAATTATATTAGGCATCAAATATTTATATCCTAAAATAGTTTTTTTTGTCTTTTTTTTTTTTTTTTGTCTATCCCACTGGTTTCGATTTTATATCAGCCTCAAATATTTAAATCTTAAAATAATTTCTTTTTTCTCTTTTCTCTTTTCTCTTTTCTATCTCTCCTCATTCGATTTTATATAGGCCTCAAATATTTCTTATGACTTTTTTTCTCTCCCTTTTTCTATTCTCTAGTATTCGGCCCAAACAATTGTATCAATAAATAAATTTTTTTCCCTCTTTCTTTCTCTCATTCATGTCTTTATATCAATACTAAAAACATTTTTGGATAAGGTACACCAACACTAAAATATTAAAAATCTATTTAAAGATGTTGTTTGGGAAAATGGCAAAAACTTTCCATATTCTTCTTCTTCTTCTTCTTCTTCTTCTTCTTTTTTTTTTTTATGTTTTATCTTTTTCTTTTCAGCAAGATTTCTTCTCCCCATCTCATTACAAGTTTACAGTTGTTTTGAACGCATTTTTATTCTATTGAAAAATTTGTAATAGTATTGGATTTGGGTTTTCTAAATCAGGTTCTTTTTCTTTAATTATTTTTTAATTTTATTAACTTTTGTTATTATAAATTTGTGTGTATATATATATATATATATATATATATATATATATATTTATTTATTTATTTATTTATATATTTTGTTTTTGAGTTGTGGCTAATTTTATTTATATTGTTGAAAAGTTACTTTTTATTTTTCGCCTAAGGCCCTAAATTAGATTGAGCTGTTCATGGTCGCATCTTAGTTGTTGGATGATACGACGGTTGCGACTGTCACTAATACTTGCTAACATGTTACATGCGTTATGTCTGTCAAGTTGCTTGAAACCTCCATGGGATGGGACTATTAGAACTAAAAAAATGTTCATCATTTATTTATTCACGTTAGTATACATGTTATATCTATGGTGTTGGAAGACAAAGCTTGAGTACAAGTTTAACGTTCCCCGTGATTTTGCCCAAAATAATACATTCCGTATGAGTCAAGTTTTTTAAATGTGCTTTGGGGTGCAACTCATGAGGAAGATTGAGAGGTTTGAAGCTAGATTCAACCCAACTCCAAGTAGAGTATGAAACCCTCAACCCAAAACCTAGTAACCTAGTCCAAATCCAATATTCAACCCACCAATGGGTCAATGACCTAATGGTATCGGTCACTTACCTCCCAAATAAAGGTTAGAGGTTCAAGTCTTGAAAAAGACATGTATGTGTGAGTACCAACTAAAAAAATATATATATTTAACCCGACAATTTTTTTCCCAAATCCAATATTCAACCCGACACATTGGTTATTTTTTAAATTAAGCCACTAGGTAATGTCCTAAATCGACAAATTCAACCCTAGCACAATTCAAGCATATTTTCTAGGGATTATTATGAATATATGGTATTATCGACCCATATTTACTATTTAATGAAGTCAAAGACAATGTTTCAAAAAAAAAATGAAATTAACCAAAATGCTGACGTAGACATGAAAAAACACTGTTCGTTCACCCAAACTGCCATTATTATTTTTCAGATACCACTTTTGTATTAGGTATAGAGGTATCACTTTTATACAAATTGCTACCACTTTTCTTGTATGCATGCACTATTTTTTTGTGTAGATCGTGTCATTAGATATCACCTTTTGTCCTCCATGGAAAGTAATACCTTTATGCACAAAAGTGATACTTAAAAGTAAAGGTAGTTTGGACAATGAATTATGTTTTCCCATGCTTACATCAGCATTTTGGTTAACTTCATTTTTTTAAAAAATATTAAGACTTTAACTCCATTAAATAATAAATATGAATCCATAAGTCCATGTATATGTTATAATCCCTATTTTCTACCCTCAAATTAAGCTGCAAGTTTGTTGTGTGCTCAGCTTGGCGGGATGGGCTTGGATTAGCAATGGCCCAATCCAAGCCTATCCCAAAAATCATGTTCTTGATGCTCTCTCCAACTAGTAATTCCAAAAATCATAGTATCAGATTAAAATGTGAAGTCATTAAAAATATGTTACATTTATAAGGAGTAGTTGTTAGAAAGCGTATACAAAGACTATACTGTATGGAAGTTGACGAGCCCCAAAATGTGTGACGTAATGTATTAGCTCAACACGTTCCAATTACATGAAGGAACTAATCTTTGAAGCATATAATACGATGCTTAAAAGAATATATATATATTTATGTATATGTATAGCATGAGCAGCAAACGATGTCACTGCATTGTATGGAAAATCAAAATCAATTTCAACATGTACAGCAGCCTAAAAGAATTAAATAAATTGACTTTGCGGGTCATTGTTCTAAAATGTATTTCAATTGGGATTGTGTAGACTTTTTATGTTGTAATATGTTTGTTTGACCATTTTGGAAATTTCTCTGCATTATTGTTTCTTTTTGTTTGGTAGAGAGGAAGTATTGAATGAAGAGGGAGAAGAAAAGGGTAGGGTTGGAAATTTTTTCCTTGTTCTAAAATGGATTTCAGTTGGGATTGTGTGGACTTTGTATATTGTAATATGTTTCTTTGACCATCTTGGAACTTTCTCTGTTGATCATTATAATGATCCATTTTATGATTAGGTAGAGTTTGTTCGGTAGAGAGGAAGTATTGAATGTAAGGAAGTCGATTCAAGGGCATTTTATTAAATAATTTAATTCGAATATGATATGTTTAATAATCGTGTTAGGAACTCTCAACATTAACCCGACCTATTTATTAAACGGATTACACGTGTAACTCATTTAATAATATATTTAATAAAATCAAATATAAGTTTCATTTCAACCAAATTACTAAATAATCTCTAATGTATAAAAGAATAAATTAGAAGATAAAGGAGTTATACGGGTTACTTTTAAAGAATATATATAGGAGTCTAGAGTAATTTTATCTTTTTGCTTATCTTTTCCTTAAAGGCAGGAGTTTTAACCGGATTTGGATCCTCTTTACGAAATTTTAATAGGATTTGGATCCTCTTCACACATAATTTAGTCTGAAGAAAAATGAAAATGTGGTGTTTTTGTAACCGTTAGATTTAGACTTGGAGAGAGAAAAAAAAAAAAAAATTTAGTTGAGAAGATCAGGTCTGTCTTAACAGTCATCTACTATAAAGCTTAAACGGTTAAAGGTGTATTATTTTTAAGAATATACTTTCTCCCTGTACAACATAATGTAAGAAGAAAAATCTAAGGGAAGCAAAAACTATACAATATCAATTAAATATATATATATATATATATATATGTATATATTTACACACACACGATATCTAAATTCGATTGTCTTGTTGTAATTGAGAATTTGTCATGGAGGCTGCTTTTTTTGTCTATTTAATTTAGTTTGAATAAAATACCAGCATGAAGGAAATAAATTGTTGGTATTGGTATTATTTTATAATTAAGTTTGTCCAGTCACTAAAAACACACAACTGGCAGAAGGAATCTTAAAGAACAGAAAATATAAAATAATTAGCTTCCCAAAATTGGGACATGGGAGTATTAAATTTGGTATATTGTATGGCATCTTGTATATCTATACTATTATTAAAATATAAAAAAATATTTATAAAAAAAATTAATTGATATAAAAAAAGTTTCTATAAAACTCTAAAAATTACCTAATAAAATCAATTATCACTTTCAAATTACCTAACAAAATTCAAATTACAAATTACCTAATAAATCTATTTTCTATAAGACTCTAACACAAAAATATAAAAAAATATTTATTAATTAATATAAAAAAAAATTTTATATTTTATAAAAAAAATTAATTGATATAAAAAGAGTTTCTATAAAACTCTAAAAATTACCTAATAAAATCAAGAATAATTATAGGGAGATCGATGAATTAACTCCCAATAAGTATCGAATCTGACGTGCTTTTGTCCACCTCATCCACTTAAATAGTTTTCAAAAATAATTGTTTAACACGTGATAAAAATGACCAACTACATCAAATTCGATACTAATTCGGTGATTCCTTTTTGGTTCCCTTATCATTACTCTAAAATCAATCATCACTTTCAAATTATCTAATAAAATTCAAATTACAAATTACCTAATAAATCTATTTTCTATAAAACTCTAACACAAAATATATATAAAAAAAAAAATAGTTATTAATTAATTTTAAAAAGTTTCTATAAAACTCTAAAAATTACCTAATAAAATCAACCACCACTTTCAAGTTACCTAATAAAATTCAAATTATAAATTACTAACTCTAACACAAAATATAAAAAATATATATGTATTTATTAATTAATATAAAAAGAGTTTTTATAAAAAGAGT